GACTTTTTACAAATCCAGTGCTACCAGAACAGTTCGCGCGCTAACCCGATATTGATTATTTAGATCATGAGGTAATTCTTTTCATTGTCGTCTGCAGTATTGATCAGGAGCTTTTCATAAGACACTGTTTCCACATACAAAGCGGAGCCATTTCGTGTAAGCCGCTAGTCTTAAGGCGTATTTGAAAAAAATAGCAGGCAAACAAAGACATTCAATGTGGTCACTTCGCGCGACTATGTGGAACGAGTGAGTCAGGGGCTTGGGAGAAGAACTCCAATAAAAATCGTTTGAGGCATTAGAACCCAAAAAAAAAATCGTTTTTTCAAAAGGAAATAAACTATTGCGTCTGAAACAATCGAATCAAGCTTTTTCTAATTTTTTTTTCATATGATCTGAAAAATATCGAAGAATGTGTAGAATTTCAAATTTTTTCGAAGAAATCACTTTTGAAAAAAAAAAAAAATATTCACTTCATGTTTGCAAAAACAAAAAAAAAATTGTTTAAATAAAACTTTTGCTCAACTTTTTAAGTTCAAATATACGATAATATAATACAGAGGGTAGACTTTGATTTAATGGGGATGTGACCGTTTTCTAAGATCTGCCCGAGCATTCGCCGCTCAGCCACAAAACTGCTCTAGCTTCTGAAATATGTCGAATTGGCCACTGAAATTTCGAAGACATATTCTTGGACAGTTTTAGAATGGATTTAATACATTTTTGATGCCTCTAAAGCAAGCTTCTGCCTTAAGGGGCTGTAAATTGACTCTTAAGATGGTTTTCATTTTATTTTACATTTATGGAGAACTTGTTGGTGCACCTAGACTCACCAACACCTATAAACTACTGCTTACATTTGGAAATTTAATTTACATTCAATTTACATTGCAGAAAGTCAGCTGCACATAAATATTTATATTAACTAAAATCACTTTCATCCCACCCAAAAAAAAAGGCTACCAACCATTTAAGACACATCGATTTTCCATTAAAATGATAAAATCGCATAAAACGGCGTCACCATTTAAAATATGACATCGAAAATTATGCGAAAAATAAAACGAAGTTATTGCTACAAGGAAGAGCGCAGTCACGAACATAGTAACCCTCCGGACTGTGTCTTCTTTTTTGAGTGTGCGAAAAATGCAAAATTAATGACTCTATTAAAAAAGGAAAAATCAAAAGGTGTTGCACCAGAAAAAAAATTTACATAAATTATAACAGCCCAAAATCGACAGTCGAACATTAACTCGCACTACTAAAGAGTACGAAGAAGAAGACATTTCGAAACATTAGATGATGCAGGTGAATTACCGAACAGGCATTGAAGAGAGCGAGAGAGTGAGAGCTTACGGAAATAACCGAAAATAATTGATTTATTGCTAACGACACTCGTTGTGAAATTAAATGTGCAAAAATTCAATTACAACCATTTTATTTTATTTTATAAATCAATTTAAATTTTTCCTAAAAAAAGGCAAAAATCTTTATTGGATATTGAAAACCGTTCGTTTGGAAATCAAATCGAACATTTTTTGACAGCAACGAAGGACAAAGACAACGACAACGACAACGATACGATGAGTTGATGCATCAAAAGCAGTGCAAATGCAGAAAGTTTCTCCTCAAACACACACACACACACACACACATACACATGGACTGCTGATAGCTCAGTCGCTATAGTCAAAGGAGTGACAAACGAGGCGAGTTATCATATTGCACGCATGAAAAATGCTCTGCCCTCTGCGCACACCCTTAAAACAGTCAGCCTTTGCATGCATTTGTATATACATACGCGTACATGTGTTTGTGTATGTGTGGTTGGCATTGCATTGCACATTTTTATGAGCTCTTCATGCAACTTTATACCTTCATTGGAATGCCTTTATGATGAGCACGACTGCCATTGGTACTTACCAATGAACGAAATGTGCTTACTATTCTTCTTCTTTCTCTTCTTATTCTTTCTCTGCTTGCAGCTCCTCTACCTACATGCATACAAACATACATACATAGCTTTTAGTCACGTTTGTTTGTGTGTGATTTTCTTGAATCTGTTGACTTTTCCGTATGCTCAGCACGTTGCTGCCAATGTCCGATTTTTAAGTTGTTGTAGCAGAAATCACGTAAATAGTCGTCGTGTGCTTTGTTGGTCTTGGCCTTTCTTTGCCTTTCGCCTTTCTTGGCTCATGCCAGATTGGAAGGGTAAATAATGTCGATGATTTGAGTTGAGATTTTCGCACGAAATTCAAAAAGAATACGACTGCAGAATTGCATTAACTTGCGGGTGCATTATGTCTACAGTGGAGGGTTTTATAGCAGAATAATCTCAAAATTTAATTGCAAAGCGTGAGGAAAGAGCGAGAAGAGAGAGTCTTGATAACTTTTATCTTCATATCTTCAGAGAACTGTATTAAATACTAAATCTATTATCTGACTACGTGTATATGACGAAGATTTCCGATTTCAATGATTCTTGTCAATGTCAATGTACGTATATTCGTAGATACGAAAGCATTATGCCGTATTTTATGATCCACTAACTAACGGATTGATACCCCAATATCATAAATATGAAAAATCGGTCTTTTATAAACCATAGCGGTCCGATAAGCTCGGTTCCGATAATGGATCTGTGTACCGAATCCACCAAAATGTACGGACAGACACGAATAAATCAACTCAACTCGTGTTTCTTACCTTATCAGCTTAAATTTTGTTGGGTAAGACATAGACCCAGACATAAACTTCTTCTGGTACTTACGTACTATAAGTTTTAGTAAGCAATTGGTGCAGGATTGCGGTGTGGATTAAGTCCCTCAAAGAGAACTGTTACTCTTTACCACCTGCTCTTGAGCCGCCCTTGCTATAAGTCACCGCGATCACTATTCTACCGAAGACAAACACCTACATAGGTATAGTCTTAGATAGGAAGCTCATCTAGCGGCATCGGCAAGTGGTGACAACTTTTCAGTTACATGGCTATGGCTGGCTAGTTTCATAAGAATGCATGTAGTTTTTTGGCCTTATATGTAATTTATTTTCGGCCCCACTGTCTGTTGGCTGATACCGGTCAAAGCTAGGGACATCCTCCATACTAACTACAGGAGTGCTGCCCTCAACCGCTACGAAAGCACTTGAAAATCTCCCTTATTTTATCCCGACAGACTTGCGAGCTGCAAAGCCGTAAGGTTAAATCCAATGCAGCCTTGGAGTAACCGCACAGTGTACGTCCGAATACTGAATTTTACACCGTTCTAGGAAGTGGTGTAGCATTTATAGTTTCGGTTTTGACAACATTTTCTCCACCAAATTGGAAAGCGTAACAGTTCTGAATGAAAGATCAGCAACCATTTTCATTGACGATTTAAAACTTGATGGCAGAGTAGGATGCAGTGTTCACTCGGAAGCCTATATGCAATCGACATGAGTCAGAGACTTCCCAACGACGGTTACTGAACTAAGTGTAAGGATGGAAACCGTTGTATGGTTACTCAACTCTAATACAGTATCTCAGCCTATCTCAATTTATGCTGACGGCCAAGCTAAGTTAAGTCTCTAGTAATAAGATGCTAGGAAAACTTAAATAAACTCTCGGCTGTGTACGAAACGATACTGGCTTGAGTTCCCAAACATGATAAAATCTCAGATAATTGTTAGGCCGCCGAGCTAGCAAGAAGGGTTACAAAACAAACCACGAAAATCTCTGCTAACCACGTTGCACGCATATCTTTTCTCTCTGCAAAATACCTGCTAAGGTCGGCCTTCACTAGCAAGGCGAATAGCTGATGGTAGGGTGAAACCACACACTATGTAACTTGGCCATTGATCCATACAAAAAAAATCTAAATCTCTACCTCTAATAAAAAGAAACTCCATGAGCATAACAAGCGGCGTAATTACCGGAGACATTTTTATGGGAGCTCATCACAGAAGGATGTGCAACTTCTCTAATTATTTATATTGCGGCTGCAGACGCATAGACGAGGAGGAGTCGGTGGGGTACTATCTCCACCACCGCCTCGCTCTAATGAAACCCGATATCGTTTCCTTTACTTTCACTGCCTTGCTGATATTGCATCAGCAACTGTCTTTAATCTTGTGTGGTTCAGTAAACCAACCAAGTGGTTTCATCATCTAGAAAGGTGAGGGAAATCTCTTCTAGAGATCCCCATAGAGTTGCAACTATGAGTCGAAAGGCCTAAGTTCTCTCGATCAAGAGACCCTGTGATTGAGACATTCAATCAACTAACTAACTATTCCGAATCCTGAATAAAATAGAGAGAGGGAAAGAAGAAGAGAGGGAGCGAGGAGGTGAGGAGGTGACGACGTTACGACGTTACGAGCTTTTTTCTTTCTACAAGACGTTATCGACTTACAATGTATCAAGGCAAGAGCGGCATTTTTGACAGAAATGAATGCTTCTTCGTTGGAATGTAGGGAATTAAAAGCTTTCGCGCTCGCATTATTAGGCCTCAAGTTACTCTGGCAAGCATTTTCTACCTCCACAAAGGGGTATATTAACTGGTATTTAACTGGTAATTGGATGATGCTCTAAAACATGGAAGTATCTCACCATACCCACATAAACGTGAAATTTGTGTTACAAAAATCCACTCGGTACCACTGTAACACACACACACAATCATTTAATGTACCACTAAAGCACTTAACCCATTTGTAGATGACTGACCAGAATGGTTAAAAGGATTTGAGAACATTTTTGTTGTTATTTACTCTTAAGGCAATAGCAATTTTATGATTTGTTTATAGCTGATTGCATGGTTGCTTTGTTGAATTAAAAGATAATGTCGAAAGCAGAACGTCTTTTTTTTGCCACAAATCTCTTCAGTTGTTTGCAGGTAAATAAAAGAACTTCGTTAATTGAGTGATAAAGTTCATTTCAATAACTATTTGATAGGTACATACAATCATACATCGAAAATTATTACATGAAATAACAGATGAATTTTAAAAATCAACAACAATAACAACAACAAGACTTAAAAAAATAACAAATTAAGCTCCAAATCGCTGAACAGTTTCGTTTTCGTCAAGAACACAGTCTTACCAAGAAAAAAAATTCCACTTAATCAGCTCTTTAGAATCCCCAGTGTGTGCCGAAACCATCGAAGCTCATGTGTGATACCATCTCAGCGGGTGAATAGTGCACAGTCTGGCTGGAACCATAAGCAGCAACAGAAGGTGAGTTGTGAGTATAAGTCGAAGCAGCGGGTCCATGGTTATAGGTTGTGGTGGCGATAGGAACTTCATGTTGGTATACCGGAGCCGGCGCGGGCGCAGCATAACTAATGGTCTTGGTCACTGGTGCTTCATGGTGATACAGTTGATGTGCTGGTGCAGCATAGCTGATGGTCTTGGCGGCAACAGCTGGTGCGGCATATGTGACAGTCTTTGCGACAGCTGGAGCGGCATGAGTATAAACAGCAGCGGTTGGCAAAGATTCCTGATGTTCATACACGGCCGGTGTAGTCTCATGATGCTCATAAACGGTGTGCGAAGGTGCACTGGCATAAGTCTTGGTCACAGCTGGAGCAGCATAGGTTAGTGTCTTAGCCACAGCTGGCGTATAGACATTATTGCTGACACGTGTATCCGACTTGTGCACGCTGGAGTAAGGCGTCTGAATGTTCTTCGAATATTGCGAGACGGTACCGTCAAAGGAGCGCACAACATTTTGGTGTGTAGAAGCGACAGCATCTACGGCAGGATTGGCGATATGAGCGTACGTAACGGGATGATGTAGAACTCCAGCGCTGGCGGCGGCCAAAAGTGCTGAGAATACAATGAATTTGAAAGCCATTTGATTGGATTTTGAATTTGTGAGTCTTGATATGAAATAACAAAAATAAGCCAAGTAATGCGCTATACGCTGTGATGTCGAAACGGAAACTGATGCCGTTGCCAAGGCAGTATGGGTGTTTTATAGTGATTACAGTCAAATTTCGTCTGTAGCAACTTCACTTTATTTATTATTATTAATAAAAATCGTTATTTCATATACAAATTTGCAATAAACACTCACAGTAATAGTGCAAAGCGCTACGTTACATAGCACAATTTGTCGGCTTTTTAATGCAAAAAATGCACATGTGTAAATGGCACGCTTCGAAATATTCGAAATAAATCAAAACACTTTTTCAATGTTACTTGCTAATGTTTTGAAAGAAACCGCAATTAAGAAATCTCAATTTGCTTTAAATCTTTATTACGCCCATTTCGTTATCGCTTTATCGCTGCGGCTGTTATGTAGCATTCCAGTTTGTACTTGTCATTTTGACCGCCGCATGAGTGGCAGCTAAGGCAGCGTTACTAATCAATTTTGCCACCTACAAATCTAAAGACACCACGATCATGGCCACGATCACGAACAGTCAAGTCGAATTGGCCTGTTGACCGAATGGTATGGTGTTCAGCTGGTGTAGAGTAAGCTTTGAAAAAAATAAAATATATACAATAAAATAAAATAAAATAAAATAAAATAAAATAAAATAAAATAAAATAAAATAAAATAAAATAAAATAAAATAAAATAAAATAAAATAAAATTGAAGTTCCAAGGATTAATTAACGACTGACTTTATTCAAATGTGAGAACGCACATAAAANTTATTATTATTATTATTATTATTATTATTATTATTATTATTATTATTATTATTATAATTATTATTATTATTATTATAATTATTTTTATTATTTTTATTATTATTATTATACAGTGATGTAATATTTTGGTACATGTTTGCTTATTACTATTTTCTGCGAATTTCTTCGCCTCAACAACACTTCCTCTCGAAGTAGGGAGTTTATTCTTCAAAAGTGCGTTGCAAAAGACCCAACTGGGTTGAATAATTTTCGGGCTTTATTTGACTAAGCCCCTTTGAAAGCACATCTGCTGGCATTTGCTGTGTTGACATATATTCTTATGTTATCGTTTTTTTTTGCACGCAATCACGAATGAAGTGATAACGGATGTCAATTTGCTTTGCACAAGGTTGGAAATTCAAAGGTACTGCTAACTTTTGAGCGCTGTGATTGTCATTAAATAGCTTGACATTGGCACAATCAACACCCACTTCATTTAATGCAGCTTTCAAATATAACGCTTCTTTAGCTGCCTCAGTGATCGCGACATATTCTGCCTCGGTACTTGACAACGAGATAGTACGTTGTTTATGCGCTTCCCAGCTAATAGACGACCCAGCATACATAAACGCAAAACCTGTGTATGATCGTCTGTCGGCTGAATTTGCATCCTAATCGGCATCGACTACACCGTACAAGCTTTTGCTTGTCTTCTTTTACAGCAACCCATGTTGTAATCTACCCTTGATGTAACGTAAAATTCTTTTTGCTGTCTTCCAGTGCTCTTCCGTGTAGTTAGTGTTGAATTGACTCATAAAACTTACCGCGTACGCTATGTCTGGTCTCATAGGTACAGCCAAGTACATCAAAGCGACGATTAGACTTTGGATATTTTGCCATAACAGTCTCGTTTTTCGTTTCTGGTTTCGTTAGCTTGCAACTCGCTTCTATCGGCGTTTTTGAAAGATTGCAATCTGTCATATGGAATCGCTCAAAAATTGATTCAGCATACGACCGTTGTGATAAAAATATTTCGCTCTTATCCAGATTTTGATAAAAATCTATTCCCAGACATCTTTTGACCTTTCCAATATATTTCAAATCGATTTTTTGTGAGAGCACTTTCTTTGTTGGTTTTAACCAGTTATCGTTGGTTGATACTAACAGCAAGTCATCTACATATATAATGACTAACATGATGATTTCGCCTTCACAACGCACGTTGAAACACGGATCAAACTTTTTTGCCTTTAACCCAATTTTATTCAAAGTTAATGATAACTTGTGATACCACATTAACTCTGACTGACGCAAGCCATACAATGCTTTCTTAACTAAGCAAAAAGGGTTGCTTTTCTGAAGTGACGCTAGCCACTCTTCTGCTGTTCGTTGCATTTCGTCGGTGTGCTTGGTTGCACCTCTCAAACCGACGGGTTGACCTCTCTGAATTTTCTTCAACACGCTGACAAGTAGATCTGGGATGTCCATGTAGACATTCTCGTCCAGATCTCCATTCAAGTACGCCGTCACTACATCCATCTGATGTATAAGTAGATTCATCTCGGCAGCCAACGCAGTGAACAGACGTACTGAAGTTGACCGCACTACTGGAGNAGTGAAAAGACGTACTGAAGTTGACCGCACTACTGGAGATGAAACCTCGTGAAAATCTTCACCAGGACGTTGAGCGTAGCCCTTTGCTACGAGTCGTACCTTCTTCAAATTAGCATCTTTAGTACGAAATACGAATTTATTACCAATACTCTTCCGGTTGGCAGGCTTTTCAACTATCTACCAAGTCAATTCGTCTTCTAACGCCTTCAACCACATTGATGAATCTTCTGATTTCAATGCTTCCACCAAAGATTGCGGATCTTCAGTAACCAGATTCGCTGACATATCTTCACTACACTCGTGAAAATCATCTGATTCATCAGCATCCTTCTCTGAATCTGCGGCTTCTACCCTATGCTGATAAACTTTTCGTGGTCTACCCCGCTGACCAGTGCGTGGATATGATGGTCGACCTCTACCGCGTCGAGAATTACCCGCTGCTGCTTCAACTGCTGGTACATATAGCGACTCGTCATCGCTGGACGAAACTGTTTCTGCTTGTTTTGTGGTTTTCGAACACCATATCTATTTCATTTTCGCGATATTTGTCGTTTACGTTCCCAAAGTCTTCAAATATGCCTTCAAAACCCGATTTATCGATAAACTTAACGTCACGGCTGATTATAACACGTTTTTTATTATTCGAGTACAGTCCGTATGCTTTTGATTCGTCTGAATAACCAACGAATATGCAAGGTTCCGCGCGAGTTTCTAATTTTCCTTTCGAAGGATTTTTATTGAGTATTTGAACATATTGAATATTTTCATATACGCTACTGTCGGATTTCGTTTTATCCACGCGTGATATGGTACTTCACACGTAGTTCTTGTTACACAACGGTTTCGAATATAACATGCAGTATTTACTGCTTCAGCCCAAAACGACGGAGGTACATCCGCATATATCATCATGCACCTGGCCATCTCGATGAGAGTTCTGTTCTTACGCTCCGCCATACCGTTTTGCTGCGGAGTATACGGTGCCGTAAGACGACGCTTAATTCCGAACTCACTTAAAAAATTATCGAATTGTTCATTACAGTATTCGCGCCCGTTGTCAGTTTGTAATGCTCTAATTTTCGCACCCGTAAATGTTTCAACTTTTGCTTTGTACTCTGACTAGATAGCAGCTCGTCGCCAACTGCAACGCCTATTTCATTTAGCTTAGCGACAGCATCGAAAAATGAATTGAGATGATCACGACATTCTCCTCTTCAGACATGCGCGACAATGCAATACGTTTGAGCAATGTCGCTTTTCTTGCTGGCCCTTCTGATTGAAATTTTGCTTCCAATCTTAACCAGATTTCCCGATCCGTGACATCAACTGTTGCCTTTTGGTCAAACAGCTTCCGCCATAAATCATTTTTTATCAAAATTGCTCTCACCTGCATTTTACAAGAATCGTAATTCTCTGTTCTATCAGCCATTATATTTAATACTAATATTATTATATTTATTACTGTTACTATTATTATTATTATTATTATAATTATATTATTAAAATATTACAATAATAAATATTATAATATATTAATAATAGTTATANGTAATGCACTCTGAAATGAGCCCTAACTCCTGTGGTGATATCGCCAACGTGATATCCGCTGATGCCTTTTGGTCAAACATCTTCCATTCAGCGAGTACATCCTCATTATCAGGCTTCACTATAGAGCCATCTGCAAAACCCCATAAATCATTTTTTATCAAAATTGCTCTCATCTGCAATTTCCAAGAATCGTAATTCTCCGCGTTTAGCGGCTCGATTCTTACACCAGCCATTACTTTAAATAAAACTTTTAAAATAAACTTTCACTTCTATTAGCCGTTTGCAGTCACAAGGCGCTGGGGCCATAACCTGAAGTTTCAAGGATTAATTAACGACTGACTGACTTTATTCAAATATGAGAACGCACAACGTATAACGAATAATAGAATAAAGAGGAACTAGTACACAATGTTGCAATTATGCAGTGATGTAATTTTTGGTACATGTTAGCTTAATACTATTTCCTACGAACTACTTCGCCTCCACAACAGTTCTAACAAATTTCGATTCATTTACTCTATGTAACAAAGTGCGGACGCTTGCTGTCAGGTTCTCAACCTCCCCCTTTTAATCAACCAACCAACCAAAAAATTATAAATATATATAAAAAGTAATTTAAGATCCCAAGCGCTGTTTCAGCCCATCATAAAATGATAAATTGATTAATTCCACATTTTATTCTCGTAGTTTTTTTTATTGAATGGAAGTAACAACATCTTTCAAAAAATATCCGCCAAATCTACTTACTTTTTAATAAAATTTAATTTGACTGTGCATATAATATGTAATATGTTTATTGTATTTTTTTTTGTATAAAAAATTTACAAAATTACTATTAAATACTATAAACAAATCGCTTACTCATAATAATCTGCTCTCATTTTTGTGTCGAAAAAATGACTAGTGAAAAAAATTTATACATTTTAATAAAAATTATTCAACTTAAAAAAATGTTTGTATATGTGTATTCTAAAATTAGTTAATAGTAATTAAAACTACCACGCTTATATTTTAGAGTAAATGGAAGTTCCCCGCACATACAATGTATATATATCTAAATATTTCTTTTTTTTTATTAAAATTAGTTTTTATATATAAATATTTATGTACAAAGAATTTAAAAAAAAATAATGTTTTTATGTAAAAGTTGAGCAGTTTCTGGACATTATAAAAGTACATTTCGGCTTTTTCTGTTTGATTTGCAAAAACTTGTATTTGATAATTTTCCAAAAAGATAAAATAATTACTTAAAAGTAATTTACAATTTTTTTAAATGGATTAAACGCGTTTTAAATGTATTTAAATTTTTTCTTATTGTGTTAATGAAAATTCAAAAAATTTAAGAAAAATATTTAAAATATTTTGAAACAATTTTTAGTTGCAAAATTTAACTTTTCAGAAAAAATAAAATTTTTTACTTATTTTTGTTAAATCTTCAAACCTTCAAATTTGTTTTGCTTTTTATTTTCAGTGCGTTTTGTTTCTCTAAATGTATGCTTACAATTAAATTCAATTTGCCACTAACCCTGGAAGTTCTCACGTACATATATTTATTTATATATATAGGAAGATTATAAGTCTAGGTAGAAGAAGAAGAAGAAAGCTAAACACCACACTACACATACGTTTTTATAATATATTACAATACATACACTACCAAATTTAAATATAATTTTTTATTATTTAAATAGAGCTAAAACGCACTAAAGGCCACAGGCAGACAAGCGCTCACAAACACATTGATCACTGCACGTACATACGTGTATGTTCATATATACAAGTATACAATCAATAATGACATTTTGTTTTGTACATACGCCTAAATGAATATTTGAAGCATACATTCATAGAACACTTTGTAGTTGTCTTTGATTTTACGCCATTTCATTATACATACAATCATCATGCACACAATTAAATTTAATTCGTAAATCTATTTAAACTAATTAAAAACTAAATTCGATATTCACAATCACTTATGAGACTCAATAGAATGTCGATCCTCCGCACGATCGTTCAATCTATTGGATTTAACTCACTTCGTTATTTTTGTTTTTATTTTTTTTTCTCTTACGAATACTATGAACTATTTGTCATTATTGGTATCGCGTCTTCGCTATCGTCTAATAAATCTCCTGGCATTGTCTTGAGCAGTGTATAGCTTTCACGATGCATAAATTTATGTTGATGTTGCGCAATGAAGCTGCTGCCACGCCTCAGCGATCGACGGCCCATCTCTAAGATTTCCAGCGTGGGATCGCGTGCGAAGACGAAATTTTGATAGGCCCGCACGAAGATGAAGGCAATGGCTGAAATGCCGCCAAAGATCAACAGATACGAAGAGATCGGTATGATAATTGGCGCAAATACTGTGGCCAAGTAGATCCAACGTCGAATTGCGGGCGTTAACTCGGAGATGCCCTGAAGAAAAATAAAATATAACAAATTCAATAAAATCAATAAAACAATATAATTTAATATTGAATATAAAAAAAATTAAATAAAATAAAGCAAAAAATAAATAAAATTAGAAATAAAAAAAAAATAAATAAAATAAAGAAAGGAAACAAAATGAAATAAAAAATTATTTAAATAAAAAATAATATTAAATTAAATTAAATAGCATAAAATGAAACAAAAAACAAATAAATCAAGATAAGACAAAATTAAAAAAAAATAAAAAATTTGATGAAAATAAAACAAAGTAAACTAAAAGAAAAATGAAATAAAATAAAAAAGATAAAATAAATGAAACTAAATCTAATTAAATAAAATAAGACAAAATAAAAAATAAAATAACTCAAAAAAATTAAATTAAATTAAAGAAAAAATACATAAAAAGGCAAAAAAACACAAATACTTATAAAAAAGAATTAATTAAGTAAATAAAATAAGAAAACCCAAATAAAAGAGTATAAAAAATAAACTAAAATGACAAATCGTAAAATAAAGCAAAACAAAATATATTAAACTGAAATAAAGTATAAAAAAAAAACAAAATAAATTGAACTGAATTAAAAAAAATAAAACAAAATAAAATACAAATAAAGCGAACTAAAATAAAAAAATAAAATACAATAAAATAAAATAAAATTATATGAAACGAAATAAAAAAAATAATAAAAAAAAATTAAATAATTTTAATTAAAACAAAAAAAATAAAAAGAATTATTTTATTACACATACATCAAAAAATAAAATATAAACAAAATAAAATTATATATAATTAAATAAATTAACTAAACTACAATAAATACAATATATATATATAATATATATAAAAAAGTAGGATAAAAAAAATATGAAATAAAATATAAAAAATAATATAAAATAAATTAAAATAAAATTAATTACAATGAACTAAATAAATAATGAACTAATAAAATAATATAAATAAGATAAAATCAAATATATTAAATTTACTAAGATAAAAAATAAAAGAATATAAAATGAAATAAAACAAGCTAAAAATGAATAAAAAAAGATTAAAATATGTAAAGTTAAAAAATATTAAATAAAATGACAAAAAAAATATGAATAAAATTATATAAAATAAAATTAAGTAGAATAAAATGAGCAAAAAAATAATCCAAAATAAAACAAAGTTAAGCCAATAAGAAAATAAATTACACAACAATTAAAGAAATAAAACATAAACATAAACATAATCATATAATGTAAAATAAGTCGAAACAGAATAAGATGAAATAAAATAAAATTTTAAAAACTAACTTAAAATATAAGAAATTAAAATGAAATAAAATACTATGGAATGAACTAAAATAAGATAAACAAATAAAAAAAAATAACTTTAAATAAACCAAAATAAAATAATAAAAAGAAATAAAACTAAGAAATAAGTAAAATTTTAAAATCTTACTTCTTCTAACCACATAACTGGAAAAACGAAATCCCTGAAATCCTTAACCGGATAAACATCTTTCGCGCGCGTCACTTTCAAGTTAAGTTGTATGCGTACTTTACCCTCTAGCGGTACTCCCAATTTCTGAAAGAAAAAAGTTACAATATTTCATTTTACTTTAGTAGAAGATCACTCAATGCAATGAACTTGGCTACTCACCGATTGAATTTTGAAATATGTTTCATGTTCGCTTTTATTGGGACTGAGGCCTTCGACCGAATTCAATAACGACTCGTTGGCTTGATAGAAATGTGGATTTGATATATAAACGGGTGCGCCATATTGACAGGGACTTATATTTTGTAGACCCTGTAATGGCTCATAATCACTTGGATCGTAACATGCATTGTCGGGATTGCTCGATGAGTCGCCGTAAGTGTTTTCAGGCAAGATATATAAATCGGCGCCAATACCTATAGAATTGATAAATAAATAAAAATGTTATTAGAAATCAATTGCCACGAAAATTCTTAATACTAATTCTTACCATCCTTCTCAACACCTTTCTGGTATTGCAATGGTATAACCCGACACAAATCTTTATCATACAAATAAACCATATTCGATTTAGTTATTTCGCGCGGTGGAAAGAAAGAACCCTCCGAGGCAGCAATACGATTACAAGGCGGCTTGTGCCAATGCGGCAGGTGATCGAGCCCATTCAAACGATCTATATAACCGAATTCTTCCATACCTTGTTGACCCGTCTTGATTGTTGAGACTTCGGTAAGTGTACCATTGCGCTGTAGAGTGGTTGGAGTTTGATGAGTTGATAGAAGTTATCAAAGTCACTCATTTCTGTCTCACTTACCCCAAGTAGCAGTCCCATACGCTCCATTGGACGCAAATGTTTTGGATAAAATCGATGCGCTAAACTCACCAACGCATCATCGTAACCGAACACCAACTGATCGGCAGTCACATTGATGAATGGCTTAAATTTGGCCGCAGTCAATACTACGGATATTGTCTTTGATAGTAGATAACCTAATTTTGGGCTGAGACTAGTTAATGTCTGTGGAAAAGAGAAGATTTACGGTTTTTTTTTTATTTTCATGAAAATATACTGTTATTTCTGTGAGTGCTCACCAATAGTGGTATATTTGGCGTGACTATCGGAGTATTCTTGTCTATACTCAGTTCGGGCACGAATTGTAGAATTTTCTTGTGTTGATATGACACGGTTTGATTGTCGTAAAAATGAATATTCACTTTTTGCATGTCCTCTCTGGAATTAAGGAGAGCAATTTTAGAACTAATTGGTTATTTAAGGTTAGTTAAGGTGACTTACTAAAATATATAAATTTATAAGTATTTGAAATATCTATAATCTTATACAATACAATAAACCACAATAAGCATCCAAACTAGTTGAGAAAGAAAGAGTAAGGACATAACGTAATGGCTTAAACTTTACATATTCAGCGCGAAAGTGAAAATATACCCGCATTTCCGGTTGCTGCAGGTCCTCGTATTTTGGAAGAACCAACCCCGCTTTCAGGAAACCCGAGCTTTGTAGCCAGAAGTGATTTTCGGCCGAACTCCTCTTTTCTTTTATGTCAGGAATACACCCGGAGGGCTTGACATTCCCTGCCGAAGGGCGACCGCAGCAAGAAAAAATAATTTTGGTTGTTGTCCGAACCATGACTTGAGCCCTGGCCTTCCGAATGACAATACACAATGCTGGTACTCAGACTCGACCCTGATCTTTTATATTAACAATTAGCTGACTGTGGCAGTTCAATTTGTTGCAGTTAGGGGATTGGCGGAGCCCAAAACTACTCACGTGTACAAATATTTTTTTTTTGGGCATTATGACTCATGAGAGTTGAGCGTATCAATCTTACAGCTTCAGCAGATCCTTCAATATTATTTTTTACCTTAGAGAAGTCCGCTTTTCTAAGCGTATTAATTTTGAGTTAACTCTTCCAATTTTATTTCGGACAAGCTTGCCTACATTAATGACAAGCCGCAGTGTGAATTTTTGAACAGCAGTTTGTATGCGTTCTCAATCGAGAAGAAGCAGCTTGGTCGTTTCTAGCTTGGTAGGTGAAATCATAGAGTTTCCTTATGTATCCCTGTGCTCAGTCACAACCAGCAAAAATGGGTATAATTTTTTGTGAACGGATCAAGAGCCTTATTTACGGTCTGTCTGCCCCTGAATATCCTTGATCTAGAATTCGGTTCGAAAGTAATCTGAAGCATTCTTAAATATCCAATTTGAAAAACTCTGAAATGATCGGTAAGCCCGAAAGATATTTTTCGAGCGAAAAGTTTTGCTAAGTTTCGGAACGATGAGCTCTACGAGCTGTACGACGGCATTGATATAGTTCAGCAAATGAAGAGACAGTGACCACGCTGGCTAGGCCATGTCGTCCGGATGAATGAAATCACTCCAGCTATGAAAGTACACGAAGCAGAGGAAGAGTAAGACCTTATCTTCAGTAGATAAATTAGGTGAGGAGCGATCTGGTGGTATTTTCAACTGTGTCTACAAAAATGAAAAAAAAAAACAATTGATATAGAAGAGCAACGGTCTATCTTTCTTGATGTGCGAGGATTTTCGAATGTCAAAGGCGTTGATTTCACCAAAATCTTAGGTAAAGGGTACCTAATGCTGCTATCTACTAAACCGGCCAAGTCCACTGGTAAGGAGTGAGCCGCTTATACTGATCAGCTTTGAGTCTTGGATTTTTTGGGGTTAAATTATGCACCTTGCTTGTAGCGGGCTTCCTTACAGCCACCAGTTAAAGGAGTGTTTGGCTTTTTTTCAGCGACAGATTTTATGAATTAAGCCACATTCCTCAATAATAGATTTATTGTGTGAATACTTAAAATATTATATATTCGCTACGTCCAGAGGTTCTACTTTTAAAATCAAAATCCATTACTGAATGGCCTGTTGTTGATATATATATATTTTTCTTACACCAAAGAATTTGGTTTTAGAATCATTAATATCTTAACAGTAATGCTCGACAGGTAAGACGTTGCTCTTCAAAATATTGGCTGACCCCTTCTTTGCAGTCGTGTTCGACTTGTTCGGCAGGATGAAGTATTCTCTAGAGGATATTAATTTTCTTTTATAAAGTAAAAAAAACTTCAACTTATTGAGTCGACGCAGTGGAAACATCGCTTAGGCCAGCTCGACACAAAGTTTTCAGCATCAAAACTCATTCTAAACTTGACTGGAACTCGTAAGAGCTCACCACCTTTTTGCTTTGGAAGAAACATTTCACACTTTCATGTGGCTTAGACTAGCTGGAATTTCCGTTAATTTACGAAGAAAAAAATCAGTTTTTACTACTCGATATATCCAATTAATCTGAAGCCCGACTAGCTTATCTTCATTGATGCGAAGCACTAAATAGGACGTTAACCTTAGTACTACTTGAGTTACACTTTCGAAACGCGCCAAAAGTAATAAAGTTTACACGCCAATTGAATGTATTTGGCGTACAACGCCAAAGTCAAGGTAAGTATCTCGCTCTTCCTCAAATGAAATACAAACAAAAACACACACACTTCGAATGTTTTCCTTCGCTTGCAATGCGCTTCAATACTACTAACCCAGCTATGCTGCAGCGGCGGCTCATCACTCACCGGCGAGCGAGTTGAATGTCAAGTTCAGCGGCAAACAACAGCCACGGCCGCACACAGATAGACTGACATAGCGATGGAGCTTGCGTCCAAAGCTGATTGTATGAAATGCCCCTTGCAAGAAAGGGTGCGGTGCGCGGAAATACCCATAATTATTTACAAAAGTTTTGCTCTTCAAAGATCTGCTTAAATAGTTCCGTTGCCGTTTGTTTTTGTTGTTTTTTTCTTTAATTGTTGTTGTGTACCTTTGAAATCATTTATTTCTGTTGACATTGCTTGTGGTGCCTTTGTAGTTGTTGTTTTTGTTGTTGTTGTTGTTTTTGTTATTGTGTGACACACTATATTTAAGTGTAAATTAAATCTAATCACGCATTTCTATATTTAAATATTTATTATTGTTTACAGGCGTCTATTGTCAGCGCTGTCAAAGTGTTTGTGCATTTATTTGTTGAAATGTCTCTCTCAACGTACGAGTACATACATACTTACATACATGTATGGGTATATGTATTATTTGCTTAACAGTCACAACTCAATAGATAATAATTTTGCTTGCAATTTTTTTTTTATTGTGACGCTGTCACTTTTTTGCGGTTTTCGTCAAGTTTATTTTTTTTTAATTTTTTATTTGACATTTCAAGTGCGACTTCGCGTTCCATTCATCATTTTAGCGGCACAGCCGCCACATACATAGTACATGTATATGTACAACAACTATAAACCTAACACCGAAGTGATTGATGTTGTGACGCACCAGTAAAAGCACCGCCCATTTTTGCCGACAAACGCAAAGGAGATTTTTGTGGTTAAAAGACTTTTAGTGACGAGTGTAAAATCGTTTATGTGCTTAATTTGAAAACTACGAATTACAAAAATACATACATATATACCCATAAGAGTGTCTTCTTCTACTTTACATTAAGAATGAAGTTTTTTTAATATCAGCGCAGTAAAGGGAGGACTCCGAAGGACGATTTTATATTTTAATTATTAAAATTTGGTTTTTTAAAAATAAAATTTTATTTTAGTGAAAGTTTCTACTATCTTCTGCTTGATATAGAAGGAAGGTTGCCGCGCTGACTAGAGTACCTGTTTCTGTTAAACAAAAATCGTTATTCATAATCAAATTTAATAGTATAGCAAGCTCTGAAACGCTTTTGAGTAACCGAGAATTTAAATATTTCAGTTGAAACCCGATTGGACTCCAACTGATCCTTACAGCGTCTTCATCAACATCTTCCTCTGAATGCACCAGCGGGTGCAGTATCGAATATTTTCAAAGTGGGAGCATTCTTTTCCATGCGAACCACATAATCTAGCCAGCGAAACCGCTGTTTTTTGATTCGCTGAACTATATCAATGTCGCCGTTTATCTCAAATATCTCGTACAGCTCGTCGTTTCATCGGCCACTGTATCAACCGCATACAATTCAATACCTTTTTCTTGAAAACTCCCAACGCCGACTCATCAGATGTTGTTATCATAACCCCTGCGGGTGAGGGGTTCAAGAGTTTACCCGCGGTAAGGCATGCCTGTCGTAAGAGTCAACTAAAATCCAATAGTTCCCGCGACAATTGGGTCTTTATACCGGAACGACCCGGATTTTTATCTGGCCAAGGACTGTCACTGCCGCAACATTCCTCAAAAAGTACTTTGAGAAATATTTTTGTGGTTACAACAGAAAAAAACAACAACACGTTATCATCGTCCATGTCTATGCACCATATAGTAGGAATAGGACGGGTATGATGAGCGACTTGTAGAGTTTGATTTTCGTTCGTCAAGAGAGGACTTTACTTTTCAATTTCCGACTCAGTTCATAATAGCACTTGTGGGCAAGAGGGATTCTGCGTTGGATTACCAGGCTGACATTGTTGTTGGTGTTAATACTGGTTCCAAAGCGGACGAAATTATCTACGACTTCTAAGAAGTGACGTGGAAGCGGAGTCGGGAATGACTGTTTGTTTGATGACAGGAGATATTTTGGCTTGTCCCCGTTCACTACCAGCCCACTCCGCTTCGCTTCCTTATCCAGTTTTGAGAAAGTAGAACTCAAGGCCAATGATGACAATGTCATCGCCGTATGCCAGCAGCTGCACATTCTTATAGTTGTACCTTCTCTATTAAGGTCTGCAGTTTGTATTATTTTCTCCAGTAATGAATTAAAGAAGTCACTTATTTCGTCGCGGGCTATTCGAAGGAGTCCTTTCACAGCCATATAATGGAACTTTTTGGTGTTTGGCCAATGACTGTTGATACAGCCTTATAAGTTTTGAGAGTCCTTCCCAAAATTTATCGTTAGTTCAATACCTCGTCCAATCTGCTTGTTGACGCTTAGTCTGTCTCTTATAAGCCGTATTGAGGAGACTTATCGCACGGTAATTAGTACAGACTGCAAGGTGCCTTTGTGTCTTGATGTTTTTTTTCCAAAAAATGGAGGGACCTACAGTTTATGCAAAGCCGCCTCCGAACGGCTGAACGTTTTTTTATGAGGAGCTTTATTTCATGTCAGAAATACACTCGGAGCGGTTGACATTCCCTGCCGAGGAGCGAGCGCAATTGCAAAATTTAGCATTACTTTTTATTGAAATTAATATTTTAAAACATTTTCTTGTATGTTGTACGAC